CACACCCACACCCACACCCACACCCACACCCACACCCACACTCCACACCCTTGTGCAAATTTAAGTGAAAAATAAGCTAAAATAGAAATGACCACCCTATATGTATATAAAACGGGTGGTTCATAGAGAATGAGTCATTTTTCTTGTCTTTTTGAGAATCTCAGAAATTTTAGCAATATCATTTAAGCCTTTATCCCCCCTTGGTCACTGGAGTGGCCATTTGTAGAACGACTGCGGAAAAGAAAGGGAGCATCGGGTTAAAAAACGCTAAGCACCTTTTTTGTAGTAAACTTCATGGGCTATCCAGTGGTAGAAAGACTGTTCCTTTTGATTGCATCATCTTTGAAATAAAGGGTCTAAAAAATCGAAAATTTTGAAAAAATGAAAAAATTGAAATTTTTTAAGTAAAATACTTTCCACTCACAGCCAATAGAGATCTCATGAAATTTCTATGTGATATTAATTGATGAAGAAGTTCTTTGATAAAAAAAATATATTTCAAAATTTTAGTGATAACTCAGTGAATATGACATACAAAGAAATATGATTGACCATATAGCCACCAATTGACGTATGGAGCGAAATCAAGAGCACAGTTAATACATATATTAGATACCTCGACTCATTAGAAGTCGAAACTCTATTTATGATGAATTCAATTTGATGAGCGGTTATTAAATGGCCAAGAATAAAATTGACTTTAATTTGAAAAAGCATCTAAAAAACGCATGTATTCTTTGGTGTTCATTTTTATAGGTTTATTTCTCGTCTTTTTTCCATTATTCTAATAGCGCGAGATAGATGTTCCTTCTGTCCACTCAATATTGTGGTCAAAGAATAAAAATCAATTCTTACGGTGTAGTTCAATTTTCTTTCCCTACCCCATGATTTCTGGATAAATCAAATCGTCCTACTCTTGGAGCAGAACATTCGATGGATCAGATTATGCCATTTGCATACTAGCGAGGGTAGTACTGTATTAATAAAGTTATTTTATCAGTGGCTCTTCTGGAACCTCCATGAGGGGTAAAGGGTTAAAAAAGAAGTTTTCTAGTCTACACGACTATAACTGTGTTGATAAAAAAACTTTGTCTGTTCATATGGAAATAAAGACGAAAGTAGAAATGATAGAAAAATCAGTAGTACATGCTGTAACATTTTTCAAGCTTTTTCTGTTAGTCAAACTCGTTTAATTCAAATATTTTTCTGGTCGGATACATCTGCGAACACAATTTGCGCTTTATCACTAGATAAAGTGAATTGAGAAGTTTATCAGTATGAAAACCAATT